CTATGAGTTTTACGCAAGTGCACGTATCGCTTCAATTAATATAGAGTTTTTTTTTTAAATCCTAATATTGATTCCACCGAGAATCGAGGTAAGAAATCCCTTAGGTTGATTTTAGTTTACTACAATCTGGGCTTAGTTTGGAAAGTTCATTAAAGTGATTTTTCTAACAACTACTCCTAAATGTAAAATTTATGTTTAAAACAACTAACAATTATTCCTAAAAGAAAATACTAATTCTAAAGATAACCTTTTCTGGATGAATTGGTTTGAGGAATTATGAGATGTTAAAAACTACTATTCCTATGTAGTGAATTGGATAATGTTTATGAATGAGGTACTTAAAATTCAATATAATCAATGACAATTGGAGCAATTCTCCTCTTTACCCTTTTTTGAGTGTATTAAAAACATTGCTTAACTTAAAGTCGATTCCTTAACATTCAGATTTCCCTTGTTAAAACTAGCTAGCCTGTCAGCCTAGTGTCCCATAGCCTAGGCCATGGATGTGACCGAATCTATGTTATAAGTTACAAAGCCTTAAGTTAAATTGACATGAATCTAGTCTGTCACCCTAGAAACAACTAATTTACACCCATTAGCAAATATTTCTTTAAAAGTGCATTCAACTACATTAATTATTGTAATGTGTCAAATAAAAGCATTAATATCCTTTATTCCTTTGGTCAAGAAATAAAGGACATTGGCTAATTCAGATGTTTTGAATCTGAATCTGTGGTTAGCCTGATAGGACAATAAAGGACATTAGCTAATTCAGATGTTTTGAATCTAAATCTGTGGTTAGCCTGATAGGATATTGGCTCTCACTTCAGAGCTCCCACCTTTCCTACACCTGAGTGCTAATAATCTTACCATTTGGTTTTTAAACATTTGAACAAAATTGTTGATTTTAGTCTGTCACCCTAATATCACCAATTCTACACCCATCAAACGATATTTCCCTATTTAATTGCACTTAATTTTATGAAGACTTCACTCCTCCATGACAATAATGTGTGATCCCTACTTGAATGCTGAAAACATGACCATCTGGACTCTTAGGATTTTACATAGATTTTAACAAATCAATTTGCCAAATTGAAAAGTAAATGAACTTCAAAATGAATCATCACAATTTGTAATCAAAATCTATTCTAACATGCATCACAAAAGCCTAAACATGAATCCTACTCATTGCAAAAGAAAAGTGGAAGGAAAATAATGGCATAAAACACTCATGCTACTATTTCCTTATAAGAAGAAAGTGTAAGAAAAAGTCATCGTAGAGCACAAGGAAAATAAAACGTAAAACTTCATTACATCAAAGTAAATAAACTATATAAGCGTTTACAAAATCATAAGATAATGAAGAACAAAATACATAGCTTCTTCCCCTTAAAAGAAAGATGAAGATCTCTCCCAAAAAGTCTCCTGCTGATCCATGCAATGCTAGTACATTTCCTTACAAATTCTCTCAAAATCCCCATTCCATTCTCTCCAAAAAGATAAAAATCTACATTTCTACTCATATTCTAAGATCTCTAAACATGCTCCACATTTTTTCACTCTTGTTTTATTTTTAGTGCCAAAGGATGTTAAAAACTGTGAAAATTTTTGAAAAATTGCATCCCTAGGCGTCCATAACCATTCTTGACATCGTTTGGCGCCATTTGGTGCTATTCTAGATCTGGGCACCGCTTGGTACCATTCGGCGTCACTTTATGTAGCTCCATCATTTCTCTCCATTTAGCTCCGTTTCAGCTCTGTTTTGCCTCGTTTCAGTTATGTTTCGTTCTTAACAGTTATACTTACAAAATAAGCATAAACTCAACCTTTCTTTATAGTGTAATTTCATTAAAAATCATGTGAGAAATGTAAAAGAGGTTAAGAATAGAAAAACATATCGAAATGTGTCAGGCCAGAATTTTGTTTCTTATTTGCTTTTACTCCAAATTGCATGATTTTTGTTTTCTTTTTTTTCCAAAGTCCATTTCTTGTACCTGAAGTCAAAAACATGTAAAATAACTTCCTTTAAAGTGCAATATCACTAAAATTAAGCATTATATGTTTGTGAAAAATTAGTCATTTTTTAGGCGTATCACGAGGTAAGAAATCCCTTAGGTTAATTCCAGTCTACTACTATCAAGCCTTAGTTTGGTATGTTGAGTAAAGTGGTTTTTCTAATACTATTCCTAATTGAAAATCTTAAATCTAAAGATAACTTATCTTTACTTATCTATATAAATTAGTTTGGAGAATTTTGAGATGTTAAAGACTATCTTTCTTGTGCAATGACCTAAATAATGTGTTGGAATGAAATGCTTAAAATTTAATGTAGCCAGTGACAAACATGATCATACATATTCCTTACTCCCTCTTAGTGCTTGCAAAGAAAATTGGTTATCCTAGAGTTTCTCACCAACATTTGTAGTAGTGCTGAGTAAATTCTAGCCTCTTACTTCCTGATTACTCACTGTGCCCTCTCTATAAGACCTACTAGGAACCCTCACAATCAAATTTATAGACTGAGTTCTTAAAAGAATCTAGTCTGTCACCTTAGAAATATCAATTCTACACCCATTAAAACTTTTCTCCATATTTATTTGCACTACCGTCAAGTGATCTCAACGGTTCTGCCCAAGATGAAATGTGGTATGCACTAGCTAGTGAAATCATAGACCTCTCCGGTCATTGAGTTTCTGAAAGAAATTAGATGATACAAATGACCATATTGAAAAGTTAATGAAGAACCCAAAAAAATAACAACACATTAATTATATAAGAGAATATATAAGCACATCTAAAGTCCTAAACATGCATCTATTTCATTGTAAAAAGAAGTAAAATAAAGATAATAGCATAAGGAGTAAAAGGACCAAGAGAATTAAGTAATAAATTATGGGCCAATAAGGAACATATGTCTACCTACCCTCTCTCAAGAGTATAGATATGTTTAAAACTCTATTAGTTTTATCCAATAATCTGTCACCTATGACTTCTAATGAGAATTTTTATATGCTTAATTTTATATATTTTATATATTCACAATGATATAAACGCAAGTATATGTATCGCTCAAGTAATATAGGACTTTCTGATTAAGCATCGAATATCGATCCTACAAGGAAGCGAGGAAAGATGTCCTTAGTCAAATTCTAGTCTACTACTATCAGACCTTAGATTGAAATGTCAATTAAAATAGTATTTTATCTAGCAACTTCTCCTAAATGCGAATGTTAAAAGTAAGGATAACAACTATTCCTAAATGTAAATATTAATTTTAAAGGTAACCCTTTTTGGATGAGTTGGTTTTGAGAACTTTAAGATGTTAAAAACTACTATTCTAATGTAGTGAGTTAGATAATGTAAATTAATGAAATACATTAAATATTGTGTGTGCCAAATATGAGCAATTTTAATTCTCTACCCTAATTCAGTGTTATAGAAAATTATTGGTTAAGCAGGTTTAGTCCCTAAATTTGTGGCTAGGCTAAGAGGATACTGGCTCCCACTCTAGAGCTCCCATTTCCCTTTCCCTGAAGGCTAACTCTCGCTTTAGTTCTTTAAACACTAAGACCGCATTGGAGATTTTAGTCTGTCACCCTAAATTCTCCAATTTTATGTCTATCAAAGTATATTTCCCTATTTGTCTGCATTCAACCCCCCCATGAACTTCAACGTCCATGGAATTTGAATGTGGTTCAACTTTGTTGAGAATTGCACCGCCCTCTCGGGTCTTAATGCAATAAAAACAAATTTTAACACTACAACATGCCTTTATTGTAATGTAAATGAAGTGCAAGTAAAAACCGTCACATTTATAATTAAAATTCCTTCCAGCATGCATCCCAAAATCCAGAACATGAATCCTACTCATTGTAAAAGAAAAGTAAAAGGAAAATAATGACATAATTCTCTCATGCCACTATTTCCTAAGAAGAGAAAGAGTAAGAGAAACACATTACAAAGCACGATAAAAAACACACGAAAAACTTCATTACATCAAAGCAAATCCACTAGATAAGTTTTTACAAAATCATAAGATAATGAAGTATACAATACTTAGCTTTTTCCCTTGAGAGAAAGATGAAAATAAAGATAAAAATCTCTCTCACAAAGTTTCCCGCTGATCCATGCAATGCAAGAACATTCTCTTACAAATTCTCTTAAAATCCCCTCACCAATCTATCCAAAAATATAGAAATCTACATTTCTACTTCTATTCTAAGATCACTAAACATTCTCCACATTTTCTCACTCACACACACGCTCTCACACACACACACATGCAAATGAGAGGTGCCAAGCCCTCTTTTTGAAAGAAACACAAATTCTCTCATTTCTTCCAAGAGACAAATCTATTCATCCAAAAAACATGTTTCTTCATTCAAGAGCCTTATCCAAATGTCTAGATTCATTGAATTGCTTCATGGGGTGTTTGAATCACTTGGGAGCCTTCTAGAACTTCTAAAACGGTCAAAAATCGATCCATGACCGTTCCGAGCGCCGTCGGCACCATTTTGGGCACTTTCAGCGTCGTTTTCATGTGTAGATATGTGTATGTAGATTTATTGAAGTTTAGGTATTAGATATATAAATACATATGAATTGAGTGATTTGCAGGTATATTTTCCTAGATTAGGGTGCAAATGAAATTTAATGGCATGTCACGCGCCAAGTTTCAGCTTTTATTAAAATTGAACAAAATCTGTCTTTCGGTTGCTTCATTGAATTCAAATCTTTTAAATTGGACCAGCTTTTCTTATCTAGATAAGAGAAATAAAAAATAAAATAAAACAAACAAATAAGCACAGTAACAAAACCCCATTCTTCTCGTCTATCACGCTTGCCCCACTCCCGAAAGACCTGATGGCTCCCCATCACCACCACCACAGCCGCCACCACGGCAATAATCTTTGCCAGCAAACCCTAAATAACGCTTACTGTTCCGCTTCCTGTTGTTGCCCATGTTGCTGCAACTCTTGTTCCTACTCTCCTAATCTTCATCGTCCTCCCATATCCACCGAACAACTCCTTCAATCCATGGCAACAACCCTCATAAAAACTCAATCTTTTCCAAAGCCCCAGCAACTTTATTCCCAATCCCTCATTCAAGATCTCATCCGCCATGCTTCCGCCCTCGACCCCCATCCCTACCCTCTTGCGCACCTCCTACTCCATCGGCTCATTCTTCTCCCTCTTTCCGGCAGAGAGCATCTCCTCTTCCTCTCCGGGAAGTGGCTGCAAGGACGATCCAAGCGAGGTTTCGTCGATTCCTCGTCCGGCGATCCCAAACGCTTAGGGATCTCAAACGTCTGGCGTCCATCAAATCCAGCGCTGCCGAGCTGCGATCGTCAATATCGGGTGAATCGGACGCGGAGCCGGTGGCCATTTCTCAGGAAGCAATGGATCTGCTACTTAAGCTCGATTCTATCCAGGTGCCGTTCAAAGGAGTTTCTTCTCTCTCTTTTTTTAAAGCTGGATTTCGTTCTTAGATTAGGGTTTTTCTTTTGATTGCAGAGCTCTGATCCGATGATTCGGGATGGGAAACGATCGATTAGCAGAGAGCTTACGAGAATGCTAGAGTTCGTGGACAAGGTCTTGGTGAGGGATCGGCGGCTCTCTCTTCGAGCAATGGAAGTAATGGAGGACGCTGCGGGATCAGTGCCGCGAACGAGGAGCGCTAAAAGAGTGAGTTTTGCAGATAATCGTAGGGGTATTGAGGAAGAACCGAAAGAGAGGTTTTCTAGGGATTTGGAGGAGAATGAAGGAGTATTTGAGAATGGAAATGGTGCAATTCTCTGCAGGAATGGTGGTTTTGAGCTCTCTGCTCCACAGCCAATTCAAATGGAGCAAAGGTTTGGTCGCTGATGTTGTTATTTTAGATTGCAGAAATCATTCTCTAGGAGATAGAGAAGGGTTTGTATTGTTTCGTTTATTTTTTTTTTCTATTTTTTATATATATATTTCTTTCTGGATGTTATAATGCTAGGTCTGGATTATGGCTGATTTTGATGGGTCCTTCGTGTAGTTCTGTTTGTTTTTAGTCACTCTTTTGAGTCATGAGAATTCATTTGGTAGCTTTTCTACTTTAGCCTTCGAAGGTGATAAACTTATTCAGCTGTTACTGTTTTCTAATATGAAAGCCTAACTCCTTTTGGTTGTGAATCTCTTTAAGTGAGATTGCAAACTCTGAACGATCGATTGTTGCCCAAAAAAAGAAAAAAATAACCTATAACAAATGTAATTGTTGTTATATTTCAAATATATTGTCTGCTATGATGAATTCATGAATCCAGTATGATGCCCTATTGTCGCATTTTTTATGTAAATATGGAATTTAATTTGTAAAAATTGGAATGAAATTTTTTTTTGGGTCACTTATTGTTATTATAATTGTGGGGAAGGAGAAATGATCACAATTACAGCTCCATTTACAAACATTTTTTTCTAATGTTATTGAAGGATTTTAATTGATTGTGCCTGCATTTTTGCAGCATGAGGTATGGCTCCCATTCAATGGTCACACTAAAAAATGTCTGCCAATAGATATGAGAGTAAAATAACCAGTAATTGAAATTTTTCTTCCGCCATTGCATTAAACTCCTAAAGGCTTCATTAGGCAAATATTTATCTCTTTAATGGAATGACGTCTTTCTGATCCTTGTTGAATTTTCGAGATAATACAGTGAACATGATGGAAGAAAACTTGGGCATGTCAGGTATACAGGTATGCAATGTAGAAATTCTTGCCAACTACTTTAACTTCTCTCTTGCACTTTTAATGCGTTTTAGAACTCTTTTGTTCTGAATTCTATGTTTGAATTGTAATTGTAATTTTAGATTAAGAATGACTATGTTTTAATTCAACTACTTGATCTTATTTTTGTAATCCTTTTTTGTTAAGGCTTGTATTATATTATTGGGGTTTGTACATAGATAAACTTTGTTTTTATATTTGCACCAACCAGATCATTTAAATCACATAAATACCTCTATTATAACTTCTTAAAAAAAATACTCCTTTTCATGCATAAGGGGGTCTTATATGTAAAAATTGAAGCTAAAGTGTTAGATATGTAAATACATAGCAATTGAGTGGCATGTATGTAAATATTCTTCTATATATGTTATATTTTACATAACTTCATGTTGGACTTATTAAAGTGTAGACTTACTTTTGTGCCTACAAGAGAGATATTCTTATTGATTTGCTTTGTGTAAGCTTGAAAGCAGATGAAGATTAGTCTGAAAGCCTAACCAACTTGAAATTAAGGGCAGCTGCAGCTTTACCAACTTATCCAAATAAGTAGCTTATCATGATACGTTGGCTGGCTTTTAGGGGCAGCTGTTTGAAATTGGCTGATTTTTAGCTGTTTATGGATAAATGACCATTCTGCCCCTCTTAAGTAATGTTGTTTGTAACAGAACTGTCTTGGCAATATATGCGATACTGTAGAAGCAGAAAAGTAAATTCCATTTTTGAGAGTGTATGTTTTGAATCTTCTTATTTTTTATCCCTTAAAGCCTCATCAGAACACTTTCATCATGTTTAATTAGCTAGACACAGTTTTTCATTATAATATATAAGATTGGAGATCAAAGATACAATTTGATGCGACATTGGTCATTGGAAACAAATGGTTGCTTGGCCATTGTGCATATATTATGGAGAAGACGGTGCAACTTTAAGCTAGAAAATACTTTTTGGATACATACAAACAATTAGCAATTATAGATCTGATCAATACAATATTTATTAGAATTTGAACTGACCATGCATAAGATTAGAAACCATCCGTATACCATTCAATTCATTATAGAAACCATTTAGAAAAGGGAAGCTAAGAACCACCAGGATTCAAAACTCTAATTTCAAAACATAACCACATTCACTTCCAAAGCTTTACCACTTGACTTCACCTGTCAGTTCAGGATGCTAGAAAGCGAGGAACACAAATTCAGAGAGTTGAGGAGTTGCAGCCGGAGGTGGGAGTAGGGATTTGAAGGATATATAGGCGGCTTGGATCAAACTTCGACAAAAAAGGATTAGAGTTCGGGCAGCACGGACGGTTGATAAAACAATGAAATAGGATGAAATTTGGCGAAGTTACAGTGGCGTCATGAGCGAACCAAGCGACAATGGTGGTAGTGACAGGGATGCATCAGAGTTGGAAAAAAAGTGCTAGATCGGGGTCGTAGGATCATAGAGCACAGTGACTGATATGATTTTTTTTTGCGACATCCTGTGTAAAATTTAATTAAATATAATCAATTAATATTTGGATTCTACGCAAGTATACATATCGTTATCAAGTAATAATGAACTTTCTATTTAAGCCCCAAGTATCGATCCTATGAGAAATGTTTAAATTGGAAATGACAAATTTGCTAGGAAATTCACAGAAAGTCAATTAAAATCACTGTCAGTAATTTCAATTGTTGAGATGTAATCAAAATTAAATTTCTAAATTATCATCAAATCAAATATGCAAAATTTAGAACAATAAATACTAATTTATTAACTATGTTTATGTAACGGAGATTCTTATGTGAAAAAAACATCATTCCCACTACAATGAGACTATGGTAAAATGAGATGAGATAAATGTTCATAATATGTATTGTGTCAAATAGAAGCAATTTTAATTCTCTACCCTGATGCAGTGCATAGAAAATCATTGGCTAATCTCAGTATTTACTCCCTAAATCCGTAGCCAAGCTAGGAGGATATCGGCTCCCACTCCAGAGCTCTCACTTCCCTTTACCTGAAGGTTAACTCTCGCTTCAATTTTTAAACACGAAGACTGAATTGAAGATTTTAGTCTGTCACCCTAAATGTTCCACCCAACAAAGAATAATTTCCTATTTGTTTGCACTTAATTTCATAAACGATGTTCTCCTTCATGAAATAAAATGTGATCCTTACTCTGTTGTAAAACTCATACTCCATTTCTCGGATCATATGTTTCATAACACATTTTAACAATTCAATTGGTCATATCGAAAAGTAAATTAAGTTCAGAGTTAAGAGATCATCATAATTTATTTTACAATTTAATATTGACACATTCATATTATCTCTTCATTTCACCATATCTCAAAGTATGAAGAAAGATAGAGAGAATTACTCAGACTTCGTGAGAAAGAAATAACAAAACATAAATTTCATATATAAAAGAAAGTTCATACAATACTAATAAAAAAATAATACTTATCTGAAAATTTTTTCTCAAAGCAAATATTTTGTAGCATTTCCTTAAAAATGCGGGAAGAAGATATCTCTCACTTTTCTCCTCCTTCAACTTTCTTACTGAAAGTTTCACACTAAATCTCACCACAAAAACTCTAAACTATGAAAACAAAATCACTAATTGACTCCAATTTGGAAGTGGAATGAAATGACGTGATGCGAAAAATGAAAGTAGAGGAGCCCATTTTCCGATGAAATTCGGCCCCAAATATAGCCCAAGGTTGGTTCTACAAGAGATGCCTCCAAAAACTCTTCAAAAAGTCGTCCAAATACATTGAACCTTCTAGAAACAAGGTCTGCACCGCCTTTGGCGCCGTCGGAGCTGAGTAAAAAATCTCCGCTTTAATTTGTTTTGCGCCGTTGACGCTGCCCTCGGTGCTGCCGACGCTGAGCATTTATTCAAAAATGTCATTTTGACTCAAAATTTCATTATTTTTGCTTTATTTTTGCTTTAAGCCCTAAAAATCAATAACATACTATAAAACATCAAAATACCTTCCATGAAAGTGCAATATCATCAAAAATAAGTATAAAATATGAATTTAAAAATGTATATATTTTTGGTGTATCAAAATCCCCTAAACTTATATGTTACTTGTCCTCAAATAACTCTTTTACTACATAAAAAATTATGACTTATGATAAAGATCTTAACTTTTAGACTTCCATATTTTAGTTTTTCAAATATAATAGTATAACTTAAGAAAAATTCAAAACAACTCCAGTTAATACTAAAGGTGTAAAGATATTCAATAATTAAGTCTAAGGTTTCAGATCCTCTATTTCTTTCAATTGTAATTTGTTATATTGAAGTCACTTAGCAAATTCATATGAAAAAAAAATTCATAAAACTTTATTAATTATTAAGTTAACATTCAAATAGAAAATTTAGAAAATGTGTTCAAGTCTTTTTCCTTAAGTTGATTCAAGTGAAGCCAATTTTTAATTAGGCATTTCCTCAAGCTTCTATATATATATATTTTTTTCTTTTTTTTTCTTTTCTTTTCAAGATCATTTTTAATCCCCTTTTTCTTTTCTTTCTTTCTTTTCTTCTCTTCTTTTTATTTATATGTCAGGATTACTATTTCTGGATAGCCTTTAATGATTTTGAGCTTCACTATCTTCTTCTTAAAGTTAAAAACCTTTTACATTTCTTAACTTAATAAATTTATATTAACTTAAAGATTTCATAAAGTTTAATTCTTTTCTTTTTACATGAATCTTTTAAGATTTTTAATACTTCAAAAATACAAATTTCCTTTACTAAAAATAGAA